AGGACATGCATTAACTTTCAGCATTCAGGTTTCATGATTAAAAAGATTTAATTTCTATTGTATGTTTATCCGTGCAAGTATGTTCTATTTATTTGTTTATTTATTTGTTACAATAAGGACGCTATTGCTCGATGGCGACGAATGAGCGGTTGTCATGTTTCATGGATACCGGGAACTGACCATGCTGGAATAGGCACGCAGTCAGTAGTAGAACGTAAATTGTTGAAGGAAACAAATGTGTGTTTGAACATGCTTGATTTTTTTCGCGACAATTAGATATTACTTAACGTCTTTTTCCTTCTAGTTAACGCGACACGATCTTGGTAGACAAGAATTCGTCGAGGAAATTTGGAAATGGCGTTCCAAACATGGGGATCGTATTATTAGCCAATTGGTATATCCACAAGGCAATTTCATTTTTCGTTACTTTTCATAGCATAATATAGCTTTCTTTACGACCTAGAGACGATTGGGAGCTTCACTCGATTGGGACAAACTGTTCTTTACAATGGATGCACCACGTTCTCAGGCTGTTACCAATGCCTTTTTGAGACTTTATCAGGATGGCCTAATATATAGGGATACGCGTCTGGTTAACTGGTGTTGCGCGCTAGAGACGGTGATTTCTGACATAGAAGTAAGTAAAGTATTCGTGTCTTTATAAATTTATAATTGTTAGTCATTATTCAAAGTATGTATTTTGCAAAGGTAGATTATGAGACGGTCAGCAAGCAGACCATGTTGAAATTACCAGGACGTAATAATGGGTACCAAGCATTCGTATTCAATTGACGAAGTTCTACTCACTTTATATGTGAGATATACATAATTTTATATTTCCTTACATCTTTCTGTATTTCGAAAAGGGTTGAATTTGGTGTTTTGCATAAAGTTGCATATCCCGTTGCGGATGAATCTATTGAATTGAAAGAGGTCGTGGTTGCAACCACTCGAATAGAAACAATACTGGGAGATGTCGCCGTGGCAGTTCATCCGGAGGATCCACGTTACAAAGTCTGTCATAATAGAAGGCTAGATTTTTAATGTTTCACTACTAAGATAGTCACGTCACGTTATTAGGCTTTACATGGAAAGGAAGTTATACACCCCTTGCTTAATAAACGCGTGCCAATTGTCTGTGATGCAGAGCTTGTTGACTTGGATTTTGGAACCGGTGTTGTGAAGGTAAGTCGTTACGATCCTATAATATCTTAGGTCTTTATGTATACTAACAGCATTTCTTAGCTTACGCCTGCTCATGATCCCAATGATTATAACTGTGCGCGTAGACACAATCTTCCGTTAATTAATATCTTCAACAAAAATGGTACGTTCAATGAAAATTGTGGAATTGCAGGCTTAGTTGTAAGTACAGACACGCCTTCTGGGATTACGCCTTCTCTTGAATTTTGTACTAACTTGATTTGTGCTAGAATAAAGATCGGTTCGATAGTAGGCAGGAAATTATTGATAGACTTGTTACTGTCGGCTGTTACCGAGGGAAAGATGTATCTCATGAGATGAGAATCGGTCGTTGTTCTCGAACTGGAGATGTCATTGAGCCTCTCTTGCAACCACAATGGTACTACTTGTTATGATACGGTTGATTTTTAATCCTTAAATGACATGCTCGTGATCTATATGTAGGTATATCAGATGCAAGGATCTCGCAAACAGAGCCTTGCAGGCTGCGGCTAATGGGGAGCTCACTTTTGAGCCCGCATATCATATAAAGGAATGGAATCATTGGCTTGGTATATGTCTGCATCTGTTCGATGTGTATCGATTTGTATTGAATTTCGATCGCAGTCTTAATTTACATTTGTCAATTAGAAAATATTCAAGACTGGTGCATTTCCAGGCAATTGTGGTGGGGACATTCCATTCCTGCGTTTCAGCTGTCATTTCCCGAAAGTGATTATGATGGTAAATATAAATATTACGCGGATCCTTCATGTCGACAATATAAATATTATCATAACTGTAACCGACATTTATCTAGCTAAGAGTACATGGATCATAGCAAAGTCCAAGGATGAAGCAGAAAGTCTCGCGAAAACATATATTCGGTCGAATTCTATGGACATTAATATACCTTACATTCTGAAGCAGGTTCAAATGCTTGGTTTTAATTTATACGAACATTAGATCAGTTATTTATCTTTGTATTTTCTAGGATGAAGACGTATTGGATACTTGGTTTTCATCTGGATTGTTACCATTGTCAGCCTTAAATTGGACTGGGAACGATGAATTACCCGTAAGTGGAAACTGAACCGACGACTCGACGTCCTATCTATAGAATTGACGCGATTTTCTTATAGGCAAAATATCCGACTTCAATGATAGAATCAGGCTTTGATATATTATTCTTTTGGATTGCACGAATGACAATGCTTTGCACATATTTTGCTGGAAAGCCACCTTTCAAGAACATACTTTTGCATGCTATGGTATGAGTTACTCAAGTGTTTTCTATCCAATCAGCCAGACAATCTTGTTTTTAATTGAAAGATCTTTTTCTGTTCAAGGTACGCGATGTGCAAGGTCGAAAGATGTCCAAATCGTTGGGAAATGTCATTGATCCGCTTGATGTTATAGATGGTATCACTCTTGGAGAAATGAAACAAGTGTTACATGAAAGCAGTTTGCCTCATTCTGAAATTAAAAGAAGTGAAACTATGTTGTCTAAAGAGTATCCACAAGGAATTCCAGCTTGCGGAACGGATGCTTTACGATTTTCATTGGTTAATTTCACAGAGCATGTAGGTTATTTTTTTTATTTGTTGAAGCTGTTATGAATTTTCTTACCATTCACTTTAAAGATAAACATTGCCGTGAAGGATAACGTTACACTAAAGACACATTTTTCCATAGACGCGGCAAATAAACCTTGACATTTCGCTAATCTTAGCTGCCAAGCATTTCGGAAACAAAATTTGGAATTTGTTCAATTTTGCGTTAACAAGATTTGAAATTCTAAATTACAAACCAAGTGTCACAATGACTTCAAGGACTCTGGTG